CAAACTGTGTTGAAACAGAAAAGGTGAAAACCTAGGGGATTTTCTGATTTTACTAATACCAATGAAATGGGGGAAAGATTATATACCGTATTTATTGCCAACTTCTATAATAAAAGTTGATTTTCTCAAAAACTTTCTAATAGTCCATTGAGAAAGTTATGGTGTCATCCGTTACTTTTGCTTTTCCTCTTGTGGTTGAGAAAATGTTTACTTTTTCCTCCCTTCTTTTTCTTTTTCTTCTTCTTCTTTTTTTTTTTTTTTTTTTTTTTTTTAGATAAAGTGGGGGAAGGTCAGATAGGGAGAGAGAGAGAATCTTAAGCAGGTTCCATGACCAGTGTGGAGCCGAACATGGGCTTGATGTAACGACCCTGAGATCATGATCTGAGCCAAAATGAGGAGTCACCCAGGCACCCCTATTTCTTTCTTTTTAGAAAAAGGTTCAGAGCCTGTGCTGCTTTGTTCTGTTCATGCGGTCTTTGGAGGCTAATTATCACATCACCATCATCTCTATCATCATTATTCATAGTCCTACTCATAAGACTTGTCTGCAATAGTCAAACTCTCAAAGTGAAGATTTCCTTCTGTATGTATGTAACTCTTGAAAACATTTTTTTTTCCAGATTTTATTTATTCATGAGAGACACAAGAGAGAGAGGCAGAGACATAGACTGCCTATGGGAGAGAGAAGGAGAAGCAGGTTCCCAGGGAGGCTGATGCAGGACTCAATCCCAGGACCCTGGGATCATGCCCTGAGACAAAGGCATACGCTCAACCCCTGAGCCATCCAGGCATCCCTGAAAATGTTTTTCTTGAATAAAGTAGTTGTCATTCATTACTAGGTTAAAATTTTACTGTTTCTCTTGGAATAAAATGTATAATCTAAGCCAGTAATTTAAAATCTTGTTTATTTCAGTTTTCTCCAGCTATATTTTATGTATTATATATTATTTAATTATATATAAATCATTTTATGCAGCTTATTCCCTCCTTCTCCTTCCCTAATATTACATGGTAAATTCCTTGAAATAAATTTTAGATCTTAAATGTTTAAGAAGAAAGTTGTCAGGGTACCTGTGTGGCTTATTTGGGTAAGCATCTACCTTCAGCTTAGGTCATGATCCCCAGGTCCAGGGATTGAGTGCTGCCTCGGTCTCCCTGCTCACTGGGGAGTCTGCTTCTCCCTTTCCCTCTGTAGCTACCCCTGCTTGTTCTCTCTCTCTCAAATAAATAAAATATTTTTGAAAGGTAGTCTACAAAAAAAAAAAAAAGATAGTCTATGTAGATCTATCTCAGTCTCTGACAACTAACTCTCCAATGTGCTAAATTGATGGTCCTCAATAAATACAGAGGTCTAATTAAGATGCTTTGGATGTTATCTCAGATGGTTACTACCCTGCCATGGCAAATGCATTTACTGCAAGATTACAACCACGTCTACAGAGATCAGCTTTCCTGGGAATATAAAGTCCTTGAAACCAGTAGCTGTTTTATTATTCATTACTATCCTAGCACCTAACATAATGCCAGGCACATATGAAGTGTTCAGCAGAAACTTGTTGATAGACAACAGTATTGTACTATAATCAACAAACTTGCCAAGAGTCTAGAACTTAATGATTCTGACCACTGAAAAGAAAGAATTATGTAACGTGATAAAGGTGCTGATTATCATTACAATGGCAATCACAGTACGGTATATAAATGTATCAAATTAACGTGTACAATGGTATATGTCAAATATATTTTTAAAAACACATGTTGAATGAATGGAAGAATTATCAAAAGAGATTTTTCTTGGCAAGACCAAACCAAGATGGGCGGGTACTCCACACAGGCTAATTTATTTAGTGGAGGACAAGCAAAATAATTTCCTCATTAATAAAAAAAAATGTATGCAGAAATTATTTTAACTTCACTTTCATTGGCTCAGGCAGTCATATAAAGAAGGAAAATTCAGAGGAAAGCCTTTTCTGAATATCTCCCATTCTCTCTGAACTTTCTTATGTGATTTTCCAAACCAGGCAAAATTTTGGAAATTTTGATTAGTTTCAGAATTTGGTGGTGTAAACTTCACTGTGCATTATTCATTGTCAGAATTTTAGCTATAACTATGTGAGCTTCTTGCAAAAATGACAGTGCTCAGTGCTATGCAGAACCATTTTTTAAAAAAGATTATTTAAGAGCACGAGAAAGATGCATGAACAGGGGGAGGCACAGAAGGAGAGGGAGAAAGAGGAGCAGGCTCCCCCAGCACTTGATCCCAGGACCTGGGATCATGACTTGAGCCCAATGCAGATGCTTAACTGAATGAGCCACCCAGGTGCCCTCAAGACTGTTTTTAAATTTCTACATGAGGGCAGCCTGGGTGGCTCAGTGGTTTAGCACCGCCTTCAGCCCGGGGTGTGATCCTGGAGACCTGGGATTGAGTCCCACGTCGGGCTCCCTGCTTGGAGCCTGCTTCTCCCTCTGCCTGTGTATCTGTCTCTCTGTCTCTTTCTCTCTCTCTGTGTCTCTCATGAATAAATAAATAAAAATCTTTAAAAAAGTAAATTTCTACATGAAAGTGCTGTCAGCTTTCATGAAAGCTTGATGAATTCACTATTTTCTAGCTTGGTTAAGAATTTGTGTCTTGAAACTTGAGCTAACTGGCACTATGGGTCTGACTTTTTATTCCAAAGGTGTTTTCGCTTTTTGTAGAGCTTCCCACTCAAGTGCTTATCAGATGCTCATATTTCAGTTCTGAACCTTGAATTCTTTTCATCTAGACCTCGTGCTCTGGGGAAAGCAGGAGTCCCCCATAACTGGCCTCATCGGCCCTCGCTCAGGCAAACCTTAAAAGTCCATGATTTCCAACACAGTGGAATGGGAACACCCTGGTACTCTTAGAGGGTGGGAAAGTCTTTGCTTCTTTTCTTGGGAAGGAGGAGGGCACAGAGTGGATAGCAGTCAGGTCCCTAAGTAGGGTGGGGCCAAGAGCACTCAGGAGAGTTGACTCTGTTTACCTTCCTCTTGGTGCACCAGGGATGGTGCATGTAAAGGTTACAGCATGAGACAAGCTGAGCATCCTTGGTCCTGGGAGGCCACAAGAGGACCCAGCAGGAGCTCCCCAGTTCCAAGACCCACCTCTGTTATTCAGAAAGGCTGTATGTATCAGGCAGATTGAGAAATCCCATTTATTACTTTCTTATTTTATTTCATCATAAATAACTTTGCAATTCCCTAGTGTTGTGATAATGAAGAAAGGTGATTCCCACCTTACTGAAAACCTCCCAACTTCCTTCTTAAAACTGTTATTTTAAGAAAGTGTCATAAGCCTGGTGCCTTGACTACATGTCTCTTTAGCCTCAGACAAGCAGGTGTGGTCTGTGTTGTCATGTTTTGGCCAACCGACTGAAGATGGCTTCAGACACCAGATTTGCATGGGGAAGAAGGCATAGTGTCTTGTGACAGTAATTCCAGGCAGAGCTCTCTGGGTCCAACTAGGTTGAGCCATCTGTTCTTGGTACAAGATTTTCCTCCAGAGTATCGGTGTTCCCTGGAACTGGATTTCCTCCAGAATGCCCAGGCCAGAGTCTCAAAGTCTTTCAAGTCTTCAGTAATCTTCCCTAAAATGTCTTCGGCTCATTGCTGAAATCACACATTGAGCCAGAGAATGTCACTTCTCTGGCCCTTTTATCTCCAGCTTGATATTGCTCACCAGTCTGGTAACAAAGCAGAGGATGCAGGCGAGGGAGGGCTACATCCTGGGGCAGGTGTCAGGAGCTGTGGTGGAGGCTGGGCTCTTCCTTGGGGTGGGTTTGTATTCCCTTCAGTTCCATTTTTCCAGAGGGGTAGGTGTAAGCAGAGATGGACAGAGGACATTCGTCTAGCACATTTCCCTGTTGCTACTCCTCCTTGGGGACTCCTCTTACAAGACCAAGAAGATGCTTGACTTCTGAGAAATAAACAGCTACTTTGGTGAAGCCCAGGAACTGCCATCTGGGCAATCTTCACTTTGCAAAGAGATTGATCGAAGCAATGTCAACATGCCGAGCAACAAGTCAGTGATTACTGTTGCCACCACTAACATTTATTTATGTCAGACTTGGTGGTTTATAAAGTGCTTTGTCATTGTATTATCTGATTTGACCCCTCTATCAACCGCATGGGATATTATTTCTGTGTTTTATCAGTTTTAGAGGCCAGCATAATTTGACTCTCGGAAGGTCACGAGGTTGGCAAATCAGAGCCACGTTCTAAACTGCTGATTTCTGACTAATTCACAAGATTATTCTGAGGCTCTAGAGTTTCCACGGTGGGAATCACTGCTAGTGATTTCTGCTAGTGCAGGAGGAGTAAAGTCATTTCTTACCATTTGTGAAATCACACCTAAGAAACGAAAACAAAGCTGTTACATTGTGTGCTACCGAGTCAGATCTAGAAACTTAGCTGGAGGCTTTGGGAGGAAGCTTCTTGAAAGAGGTGGAGTTGGGTTGTCTCTTGAAGAATGGAGAAGATTTGGGAGGATTGAGGGGGAAGAAATATCCAGGGAGGGCATGGTCTTGACTGCCAGCTCAGAGGCAAGAGTGACCCTGGGGTGTGCCAGGGACGGAGAGGTTCCCCTGGGGGGCTCACTGCTGGCACTTGCCTCCCACTGGTGGGCTATCTTTCACTCCAAACAGGCAGCTGAACTTTTTTCAGCTACCAAGATGCCGAATTATAATTTCTTCATTTTTGATGAAAGAAATGCTCGCCTGTTGCTATCTTGCCACTCAGAGTGCCCTCAGAAGGGACCGTGCCAAAGGATGGTGTTTGCTCTCCTTTGCCATGATTTCATGGAATCAACAGCTCTCCACTTCTCTAAAGTGGCTGTTGATTTCCTCAAAATAGTCTCCTCTGTAACTTGATTAAGAAAACTTAAATGTGCACCTTAGAAGTAAGTACGGTGAATGGAATTTCTTGTGGCAGTTCACAAGGCATTACTAGATGGCCTCAAAATCCCCATGTATTTTCCGTGACAGGTTTGTGATTCTTACCCTACTGAACTGTATGTTCCCAAATCGGCCACGGCACACATCATAGTGGGGAGTTCCAAATTCCGGAGCAGACGGCGATTTCCTGCCCTTTCTTACTACTATAAAGATAACCACGTAAGTCTCAAGGCATGCTTTTGTTTTATGCTTTGCTTTTCTTGTTTTATCATAAACAGGCATTTTTCTAGCAGCCCTCTGCTGTGTGTGTGTGTGTGTGTGTGAGTGTGAATTCTTAAAGGTATGTGGATATTGCTGTGTGTGGTATTACACAACACAACTGTGCTTAAACGTTACCTCATGTTGACCTTTCATGTTTATTTGATAATAAAGTAATGGGATTCAGTCTGAAAATACCTAAACTTAATCATCCAAGTGAATGCCTGTCCTTTTCTAAGTGGTCACCTTGGGAAGCTCTGTGCTTGTTCAAACAGTGCTGAAGAGACTCTTTGAAATGCTTATTTTAGGAAGGCTCCCAGAATCCATGGCACCTTCTTCTTCTTCTTTTTTTTTTTTTTTTTAATGGCACACTCTTTGAGTGTCCTCAGTATAAGAAATCTTTATTTCTGGAAAGCAGGTTTAATTTTTAAAATATTACTTATAAGGGACCCCTGGGTGGCTCAGTTGATTAAGTGACTGACTCTTGAACTCAGCTTAGGCCTTGATCTCAGAGTCATGAGTTCAAGCCCTATGCTAGGTTCTGTGCTGGGTGTGAAACCTACTTAAAAAAAAAAAAATATAGGGATCCCTGGGTGGCGTAGCGGTTTGGCGCCTGCCTTTGGCCCAGGGCGCGATCCTGGAGACCCAGGATCGAATCCCACGTCGGGCTCCCGGTGCATGGAGCCTGCTTCTCCCTCTGCCTGTGTCTCTGCCTCTCTCTCTCTCTCTCTCTCTCTCTCTGTGTGTGTGACTATCATAAATAAATAAAAATTCTAAAAAAAATATATAAATGCTAACATTAGATTTCCTGCAACTAATAGAGCCTTAAGTAACAGTGCCTTAAACGGGATAGAACTTTATTTTCTTTCACATAAAACTCCAAAAGCGGGCAGTCCAGGCCTAGAATCTTGGCTGTCCACTACTCAGCCTGAGCTCCTGCACCTTTCTGCTCTGCCTTCCCTTGTCTTTGACCCTCATCAAGTGGCATAAGAGATGACTTCAGTACCACACATCATTTCCACACAGCAGCAGAGTGGGAGGGCTAATGGGCCTGCACAGCTTTCTGAGGAAGGCTCCTGAAACCGCCGCGAGACACTTCTGCTCGCAATCCTGTTAGAATTGCGCAGAGCAGGAAAGAAAATAGTCTTATGGGTAACTGTGTAAACAACTAAAAATTATGGTTCCATTTCTGTGAAGGACAAGAAAAGAAATTTGGGGAGACAAGAATGGTCTTTGCCACACACTTCAGAAGTTATTTGACTTTAACCAGGTGACAAGTTTGATTTTCAAGCTAGATGATATAGTTTGGGATTCAAAGGCAAATTCATAGCCATAAACAATTGGAATACATGTGTGTGAGTGTATATGCACGCACATGTACCTATGGGCGAGGGAGTAGGGTAGGGTCTATGTCTGATTTCATTTAGCAGTGTGAGTTCCATTAATTGAAAGGATATAAATCGTCTTACTTCTAGTTATACTCACTGCTATGAAATGGGGTCTAAAAAAGGCCAGTATTTTGTTAATGTTCTGTATTACTTGACTCCAACTATATTTCACTCTACACAGAACTGGAGCAGTGGTGAATGAAAGATATGAATTTCTTAAAAAAAAAAAGATGGAGCGAATAGAGAATTTCATGATATTGCATTTGAAATTATGATGCCAGGAACACTGACACTTTTTATAATATCCATTGATAAAGAAGTAAGAGAGGGAGGATCTTTTATTTTTTTATTATCGTTTAAGAGGCAAAAGTGGGCTGGGCATTTAAAAAGTAGGCGTAGTGTCTATCCTGCTTCTTTTCCTTCTGTTCTGATATTCTTGAGAAAAGGGATTTTTTTTTTTTTTTTTGGTCAGTGTGAGTATTGCAAAGGGCAAGTATGTGATGTCTCAGAAGAGACTAGAAGTCTTAGACATTAGACCACAGAGGCCAGCTTCTTCCCCAGCTGACCTCAGATTCTCATCATTTCATTCCTGCTCTTGTGTGCCATTCTTTTTAAAATAAAAAAAAATTATTCATGAAAGACACAGAGAGGCAGACACATAGGCAGAGGGAGAAGCAGGCTCCCCGCAGGGACCATGACCTGAGCCAAAGGTAGATACTTAACCACTGAGCCACCCAGACACCCCATTGTGTGCCATTCTTTACTTGATCTCCTTTTCTCTTGAGAAGGAATCATACGGCCATCATTTATAATTTAAAATAATTGATTTCCTATATTTAGAACTTTAAAAAAGACAATACCTCATGTTTTAGCTCTTCTTACAAAGTACAAAACAGAGATGTGTTTTTGAGCATTGCTCCATGAACTGGTTACCCCAGGGAAGCACTGAATGTGCCTGTACATGCATACCCCCTCTCCCACCTCCATGAACTAGACTGTCGAGCATGTAGCATAATGATCCATTTTGTTTTATAACAATATTGAGGTTTTAGTATCAAGGTTTCATTATGTAAATGTATCTGATGCATCCAGTGATTTTTTTTAATCAAGGGAAATATTGTCAAAGGTGGATTTCTGTGGTTAGATGGATGATGTGTGAGGTAACATAGCAACAGCTCATGTTGTCATTGCTCAGGAAAACTCACACATAAACCAGGCAGTCTTCCATAAAAAGTAAACAGAAAAATCAGGTAGAGATTATGTAAACTTGCTGATCTTTCTTCCTTCCCTTTTGTGGTTTTTAGAAATTTTAAACTTAAGAATATATATTCCTCACCCAATAAAACTTATGCTTGTGAGTAAGAATATCATATGTTTTGGTTAAACTGTTCCTCACAAACTGTTTTGTTATTTTAGGGACGCTTTTGTTGGCTGGAAAGGTGGCTTAGCTGATGTGGGGTTGTGGGATCTGTAGTTGGATTAAGATGCGAAATGCGCATCATCGCATGAGCTAGAAGTCCTGTGGAGAATCCTCTGATCTAAATGCCCCTGCCGAGGGTACATCATTCCTTTTGGATCAGCTTTTAAGATACGTGGTGTTGTAATCACTTCCTATTCACTTGTTGGTGAGATTAGCATTCCTGCCCTAGGGTTCCAGGGAAGGCTGAACACATGACACCTGACAATGGGCAGAAGAGGTTGTCAGCAGTTTGTTAGTTGTACATACTCACTCCCCAAGGGAGGAGGACACGGCATGCTGCGCAGGGCCACAGAGCACCTGCACTCTGGAATTGAGTGAACCAGCAGGGATTGCAGGAAGCAGGCTTTGTAGTGAAGAGGGTGAGATGACCTCAGGTTCCACTCACGGCAGGATGTGAGTGGCTTGTTTAATTCCATGGGCTAGCAGGAAACAGAAACCCACTATTCAGACGGGAGCAGGAGCTGCATCTGGTCTGTAGAGAGAATTGGTTAGCCAGGAGGCTTTATCCATAGGAGCAGAGTGGGCATTTGAGGCCTTCCCAATTTTACCAGATGTCAAGAGCAGCTCAAAATAAAAATTTAAGCCTTGAACCGCACAGGGGTTATACAGAGCCATCCAGACTTCTTTCGGATATCAAACTATTAACAGCTTTGTAGATAAAAGTTAGAGATGTATAAATGAGAAATGTCGCTTATATTCGGAAGCCTGTTACCTACCAGCCCTTAAAATTGCTGTATCCTTTGTTCTTTCTTACTAAATGTTCAATTATTTTTAAGAAAGCAGTTTTGCTTTCTTATCAAAATATTGTGATCTCCAAAAATCACAGTGCAAATCTCTGTGAAACCAAGCTCTGCAAGATTTCCAAACAGGTGATGTCCCTTAAGAAACATATAGACCTTTTTCTTCCTTTTATAACTCATGTTTATTGAAACTCGCTATGTGTTAGGTATAGTTCTAAGAAAATTATATATCTCATCACAGTCTGTAGGGTTTTTTTTTTTAGAGATTTTATTTATTTATTTGATGGAGAATGAGCAAGAGAGCACAAGGACAGAGGGAGAGAGAGAGAAGCAGGCTCCTCACTGAGCAGGGAGCCCGATGTAGGGCTCGATCCCAGGATCCTGAGATCATGATTTGAGCCAAAGGCAGATGCCTAAACAACTGAGCCACCCAGGTGCCCACACTCTATAATTTTGATATTATTATCCTCATATTGTAGATGAGAAAACCAAAGTTCAAAGACAGAGGCTACCGTCTTTGGGTCGGTTACCCAAGATCCTATAGCAAGTGACAGCCAACTATGGATTGAAAGCCAGACCTTCTTAAACACTGCATTCTCAATTCTCTCTCCTGCCTCCTGACTTATTTCCATACTTCGGGGCTATATTATTTTGGTTAAGAATCCAGGATCAGAAAATCTTATGCCTGGATGAAATTTCTGGCTTTAGCTGTATGACACTGAGCAAGTTACTTCACCTCTCTGTGCCTTGGTTGACTCATGTGTAAAATGGAGCAGATAACAGGTCTTCTTTTATGGTAATTGAGAAGATTAAATAAAAATAACACAAAGTTTTTCTAAGAGTGCTCACAACATAGTAAGCCTTAAAAAAATGTTGGATATTTTAATTACCAGTAGCATTGTAAATGAGCAGCTCTCGTGACAGTGTACCATCGAAGTTTTACCTCTGCCCTCGGGTGAAAGACAACAGTAAGAAAGGCTGCCAGGTAAGGGGAGTGTTCTCTCAACAGCGTGACTGTCTGGGGTACGTACAAGGTGAGCAGAAGCACTTAAGGACTACTTACTGCTCCACACAAAATTGGTCACTATGTTAGCACCGAGGCAACAGAGAATTCCATGTGGAGTGTATCTATCGGTTATTAAGAATATATAACTACAAAATATGAAAATGTAGTTGGTTTAACATATCTGGTTTAGTTTATTGACCACGTTCTATAATGTAACTGTTCTGACCTAACCCTTTACTTCAAACTAGCTGCTCTCAACCTGCAGGTGATCATTGATGGTTGTGGTCATTCCCTGGCTGCTTTTCCTTTCTTTTCTTTCTTAAAGATTTTATTCATTTATTTCGAGAGAGAGAGCATGAGAGTGGGGTGAGTGGCAGAGGGAGAAGCAGGCTCCTCCACTGAGCAGGGAGCCCCAGGCGGGGCTCAATCCCTGGACTCCGGATCATGGCCTGAGCCAAAGGCAGACGCTTCACCGACTGAGCCACCCAGGTGTCCTCCCGGCTTCATTTAATAGTTGGAGTCTCGCTTGTTTAGTGAGCTCAGGTGTGGTGCGTGACAATTTCTCAGACAAATTCTCACCAGTTAAATGTGCTTCCTTCCCATCCAAGTCCTCTGATAGTCTAAGACCTTACCTGGTGGGAGCTGCATTAATGATCATTCCCTAACCCCCGTGAAATATCTCATAGAACTTGCTCAGAAGTGTGCTCTCACCTGTCAGAATGGCCTCAGGGCACGGGGCAGAGCCTGATCCCTTTGAAGAGCAGAAGCAGCAGAACCCACAGGGGAAGCACTAAGAAAGCCATCTGTGGCCATCTCTCCGTGGCAGCCTCCTGCCTTCTGTTCCCAGCGCCCCCTCCCCGCCAGTGGTCCCCGCCACTGGTCCCCGCCAAGCCTGCCTTTCTCCCCGACCTGTCCTCATCCAGGTTCAGCACTGCCCACCCCCCAGTCGCTTTTTCTTCCATCCTGCAGTTGCACTTCAGCCAATAATTCAGGAATTCTCCAACTCCGAGCAGCTCTGCTGCCCCTTTGCTTCACTTGCCGCTCTCCCTTGCGCTTCCCTCCTGAATTCTGAATCTGGCTGCAGGGCCCAGAGTTTAGTTTAGTTTTGTTTTTTTGTTTTTCGTTTTTTCTTTAAGATCTATTTATTTATTTATTTGAGAGAGAGAGAGAGAGAGAGAGAGAGAGAGAGAGAGAGAGAGAGAATGAGAATGAATCTCAAGCAGACTCCCTGCTGAAGGCAGAGCCTGACATGGGGTTCAAGCCCACAACCCTGAGATCATGACCTGAGCTGAAACCAAGAGCCAGATGGTCAATTGACTTGAGCCCCCCAGGCACTCCCAGAGTTCTTGACCGACCTCGGTGACTGCCCCTCACTGTTACAGGTGGTACTGGAACTCTCTAGCAGTCGCGCATATATGTGTCTAACTGTTCTGTGATCCTCGGACTGGCCAGCAGGTCCTCAGCTGAAGGATGGTATAGTGAGTGAGAAGCATCCCCACCTTCTCCAATGAGGAGCACCCAACGCTTCCTTTTCTTCCAGGGAAACTCAAACCTGAGCTAAGTTGTCCTGGGTTGAGCATTAGGGACAGTTAAGCTGTGCTGGGACCCCGAGCTGGGTTCTCCCTTTCTGGATAGAGTCTGAAGTGCAGGCACCCTGAGCGAGCTTAGCCATGATCGTTTTCAGAGTTTGGCCTGCTTCGCCTGTCTGCCTGGAGCGAGTGGGTTCCCTTCCTCACCGACCCCCGCTTCCTCCATCCTCCCATCTGGAGGACTCACAACCTCAGTGCAGATTCCTGGAAAGAGTCATTTCTTTAAGTGTGAAAATAAAATCTAAGTCCCTAAAAAGTACTTTGCCATAAAGTGTAAGTTTTAGGACTGCGAGGATGTATCCATACTCCCCTACTGCTAACTCAGGGAAAGGTTTATGCTATTGTTTATGTTGTCTGACTTGCAGACTAGGGAAATTGCAGAATAGAATACAGCCTGATTTCAGAGAAACCCCTGCTTCTAACATGCTAGGGGCAGCCTGGGATGTGTCTGCTGTCCTAGGTGTCAACGCCAGCGGCAGCAGCCTGGGCTCTCGTCACAGTGGAAAAACCCCCATTTAGGATTAGAATTGGTTTTTAGTATTCGTGAGGTTTCTAAATGAGCTGGTAAAAAACTGATGGAAACCATTACAAAATAACTTTTTTTTTTAAAAACCAGTCTTGCTATTAGCAGTATCCTGTAAATTTTAGGACAATAGTTATTTACTTTATATTTCCACCTTCAGCAGGAAGATTAAATAATGCCAGTGAAAGGGAAAGTAGGCTAAGTGACTTTATATTTCATAATTTAGGTCCATCCTAAGCATGCATGTTCACTCCTAATTTTTTACACAGAAACTTTGCACTGCTTACCCTTGTAGTGGTTTCTTTGGCCTGTAATTAAAAAGAAACCAGCCTTGGTTTTTGGAAGGCATTGAGATCCTTCTGCAGGTTGGCTCAGGGTGTGAGAGAACCAGAGGCTCGTTGTTGGGGATGCAGTCGCGAGGTGCCGGTGGGAACAGTGGGGCACCTGCCTGACCCTGCCATGTCCTGCAGGCCTCCATCTGCCGGAGCAGCCAGCCCCTGTCCGGCTTCAGTGCCCGGTGCCTCGAGGATGAGCAGATGCTCCAGGCCATCAGGAAGGCCAATCCGGGAAGCGACTTCATTTACGTCGTGGACACTCGGCCTAAAGTAAGTGTCGCCATTCACATCGGTGTCTTTGCAGCTTTGAAGCGTGGACCTGGGTGGGAGGAGGCAGAGGTACAGAGACCACCATCCCCTCTCCAAGGGCCTCATCTGCAAAGAGGCTGCTCCTTCTTGGATAGTCAGGATGTGGCTGCCCTGCTGGGCTGAGCGTGTCTCCATGAGGTTTCCACATCTGTGCAAGTCCACGGGTGACCTGAGTGCCTCACCCGCCAGGTACTTGGGAGAGCTCCCCGGCTCCTGGCATTGTGCTGGGTACACAGTGCAAACAACAAACGAGCATGGCTTAATTCTGGAGTTTGCCCTCCTAAACACCACCGGATTTCTTTTTTTTTTTATTTTGGTTTGTTTCTAAAATGACCTTTTCCACTCTGACAATAAGAAATTACTGTGGATCTCCCACTGTTTAATTTTTGTGAGGTGTTCAGCTATATACCGTGTCAAATTCAACTTGCAGCAATCCATGTCTGTGATTCCAGAAGATTTACAATATATAATGTCAAGTCAAAAAAAAAAAAAGATCACAAAATACTATGTATACTATTATGTTTGTGTCAAATAAAACTCAGGTATATAAACGTTTCTATTGAAATTTTTAAAAATATGGAAGGATAAACACCAGCCTGTTAAAATTCCATGGAGAAGAGAGTATTTAGAGAGGTAGAGAACTTTCTACATGTCTCTTGTTGAAAAAATTACTTTAATTATGCAAGTATTTATACACTGATTTTATAATTTAATAAAACAATCCAGAGGAAGTAATGGATCTAGTTGTCAAGAGGTAAGCTAAGTTCATCTTGCAGGGTATCTTCCATACAGATTTCCATTTTTTAGGTGCAATTTAACTTCCTATTTCACTGCTTAAACCACTTCTTTGTAAACCAGTCAACAAAACGAGTCCTCAGAAGGATGTGCCAGTGAATACATACCAAATCACCTACAAGTGCATGGAATATATCAGACACAATGAGATTATAAAGCAAAATGGCTTATTCAACATATTTGGCATTCTCATTTCTTGCCAATAATGAAAATGTACCTGGACTTATGCCTAAAGAAAGAAAAAAAATACATATAGCCCATCTCTCCATATGGGTATGGAAAAGTGCTCAAGATCTACTAGTAAGCAACAAGAGTGAGATACAGAAAATATGTATAATGTCATCCCATTATTGTAATAATAATTGTAAACAGATATTATTTTTTTAATTTTTATTTTTTTATTTTTTAATTGGATCATATTCTATGTATTGAAAGAATCTGAAGGAATGTATGTGAAGCCATTAACAGTGGTTTTTCCTGTGGGGCAAGAGGAGGATTTTAAGAAGGTTTTCACTTTATAATTATTATAGTTTGAAAAAATTTTAATCATGAAAAGGTTAAAAGAGCATTAGAGCCTTTAATGTTAAACATAGTTACCTTATCATCAACAATTCTACCCCTAACTTGAAAGAAATGAAAACATATGTCCACCAAAAACTTATCTGTGACTATTTCTTCATAGTTAATAATAGCTTAAAAGTAGAAGCAACCACATGTCCATCAACTGAGAATGAATTATTAAAATGTGGTATGTCCATTCAATGGAATATTATTTGGCCATAAAAAGAAATGAAGTACCAAGATGTGCTACAATGTGGAGAAACCTTGACAATGTTACACTAAGCAAAAGAAGTCCGTCACAGAGGACCACGCATTGTATGATTCCATTTATATAAAATGTCCAGAACAGAGAGATCTGTAGAGAAAGAAAGTGGACTGGTGGTTGCCTTGGGCCAAGAGGATGAGAGGAATTGTGGGTGACAGCTAATGGGTAGAGGATTTCATTTGGGGGTGATTAAAGTGTTCTAAAGATAGATTGTGCTGATGGTTACACGAGTCTGTAAATACACCAAACATCATTGAATCGTGCTGTGCACTTTCAGTGGATGAATTGTAAGGCCTATGAATTATATGTCAATGAAGCTATTTTTAAAAGGAACATAAGGACACAATAAACATTAGAAGAGGAAGCAGAAAGTATGATCAACAGCCCAAATCACTGAAAGTATCACCGATATTAAGAATAGGTAACTGTAGACATAGTCTATACTCGTGAGCCATATAAGAATTGAGAATTGGATATTATCCATTATGTAGGCACTCAGCCCCTGGCGGTTTACAATGCCCCTTGGAGCCTCATCTCACCAAATATGGTGATTCATGACCTGGTTCACTTAATTTGATGTTTTCCTTGTTTCCGATCTGTGCCCTGGTCATACCCTCAAACCTCCGACTGTCCCGTGCTTCTGATGGAAGTGCAGGTGTGGGATGGGTGTGGGCAGGGCAGCAGAGCAGGAGTCCCTCTCAGACACCAGGTCAGCAAATCAGTCCTGGAGATCAGTGATAAGACCCAGGTTACAGCTAGATCCCATTCTAGTAGATTATAGGCAAAGGATTCTCTTCCTTTTCGGTAATCTGAAAGCAAAACACACAGGTAAGAATTTAAAAAAAAAAAAAAACATCAACAACAAAGCTGTTCTGCTTACAGATTTTCACTTGAAAGAAACCAGAAGACCTCTGACTTTACTTTGTCTTCGGATTTGTGCTTTTCTCTCTGGCTGATCGCCCTGTAACCCCTCCCTTCTAACCTTGACTCTTTTCTGTCCTCTCCATTGTACCTTTCGTGTAAGTGAAGTGCAGCTGTTTGGAATTTCCTCGTGACCCGAGGTGAATTAAAGAATGCCTGCATCTTAGCCAAATGGACTGAACACAGGATAAGGAAAGAAGGGCTAGGGCTTTACTGATTTGGGGTGCCCTTCTCCTGTCCTATTGTCCCAGATTTAAATAAAGCCAAACAGATTCACCTACTCTTTCCAGGGCCAGCGATTCAAGTGTGTACTATGCCCCACGTAAACCTTCTGGGAAATGTGACAGCTGTTGAGGCAAGCATATTCCAGATTTAAAATGAATTAATCCAGAGGATTTGATTTGAAGGGTATATTTAGCTCTAAGCATGTTTACTGTCGGCAATAAGAAGTATGACGCTGATCCATTAAAGAAAACTGGCGTCTCATACAAGTGCCCTGTTCTTGTATTTGCTCATGCATACGTACACACACATCCTGTGAGTTTTAAACTGTCTGCTTAGAACAAAGTCTGTTGATTTTTGGTTCCTGCAGAGTGTTAGGCTTCCTTGGTAGCCAGGAGACGGACCCCATGCCTGCTATAGGTGGTGGGGAGCCAGGAAATGGGGCACTGCTGGGTTTGCTCTCAGGTTTAATTAAAAAGAGAAAGGATTAGGAGGCCACTCGGATCATTGCCACCCTGAAAGCAAGACTGGCCCAATGCACGCACGCTGCCTGTTGTGAGGAAAGCCTTCTGGATTGCTCGTTGACATTAAAATCTTGAGAGGCAGAGGCAGTGAGGTCCTCTGCTCAAAAACAACTATATCCTTGAGGTCATATATTACTGCTGGGATTTGGTGCATTAAGAAGATAGGAAACAGTATTAATGCAGTAGATGTTGAATTGTAAAATGAGAGGGAAATAATTTTATCCCAGCCTTGTTGATGACTTCTTGTTACTTCATCCTGGGACTTTGCTCAGCTTGCAAAAATGGTCATTTAATTCTTACAATAATCCTGAAACTTGGGAGATGTTTTCTTTTTATGGCTGGGGCTGAGATTTGGAGAGGTCAAATAATTTGCCCAAGGTCACACAGTTCAGGACAGTGCCCACATGCCATCCAGGCTCATCTGACGCCAAAGCCTGTGCTCCTTCCACTCGACCATGGTGCTGTTCGCAGAAATCTCCAGGGGAGCCTTGTGTCCAAAGGAGGCTCAGGAGGGCTGCTTACCTCCGAGCACACACCCAGTGGAGCTGGAGACACAGAGCTGAAGGACCAGCCCCAAGCTCATCCAAAATCAGGCCAGGCCAGAGGAGCCAGCGGGGCTCTGAGTGGGACTCTGATGGCAGCACCTTGGGAAGAAGCACTGAGAGGTTCTGCGAAGGGGTGAGGCGAGGCCACCACCTGCCTTTTGTCCTTGCTCCTTCTCCAAAGACAGCTTCATGGCTATGGTTTCTAACTGCACCCTGTAAGCACTTTTTTTTTTAAGTTGCATGACAGGATGTTAGAAGTTTTTGTGTTTCTCTAGGATCAGTAGTTAGGTGGTTTCTACTCACCAAATCCTGTGAGGGGGTATCTGAAGAATCGGTTGTAAAGATTGGGGTACCTGAAAGAGAGCGTGTCTATCCCATCCTTGCTGATGGCCTCCATGGTGGTGAGCAAGGGGAAGGGGAATTGGAGAGCACAGCGTTCAGGGGCAGTGGAGCAGTCTTTCTGCCTTCTGTTTGGGAGTGCAAGGATGGAGGAATTTCCTGGGGGGTCAAGTACACACTGACTTAGGAAGTGCACAGGAACCATCTTGCTAGTGTCTCTCCAAAGTAGGCACGTCCCCTGGTGCTTCCCAGCTGCGTGTGACTGTGGGGTGGTTGCTGGGGAGCGAAGCTGAGGGGATTGGAAGAGTCTCAAGCCAGGGGGTCTCCCATGTCAGCGACCTGTGTACCTTATATCTCCAAGAGCCCACACGCGTGCCTTAGGGGATGCCGCATTTGGACACTTGTCACCGAGAGGGCAGCGATGCCCAGTGAGTGTCACCAGGAAAGCAGTGACGTCATGCAGAGAGAACCAGTCTTGCCTGCTTTGTAGAGAGATGTTTACCACATATCCTTCCTCTGCACTTCCCCCGCTACACACACCCTCCCAAAGCAGCACCTAGAAGAAAGAGGAACGGGAAGGGAGTGGGAGAGCAGACCCCTCACCTGTCCCCATAGCCTGTAATGAGGAAAAGAGAGAATTTTCCCTCATATAGGGGATTGGAATTTTAATGGAACTTCATGGTGATTTTCTCTGTTGAGTGTAACCCAAAAGCTATTCATTCTGTCTAAGATGTCCTCAGGGGTAGGAAAGGAGGCTTTCCATAGCAGAGTTGTAGACAGTAGTAGCAAGAAAGCAAGCCTTCCCATATTTTCATGTTTATGCCACAAGTTAAGGTTCTTCATGTCACCAGTTACAGATGGAGGGAGGGAAAGGATCGTCATGTGACGCCTGCTGCTAGGCCGTGGCCCAGTCTTCCTCTTGCCAAGATAACTTTTGTTCTCATTTCCCAACGCCGTCAGATCGGCTCCTGTCATTATTCAGGTACAGGGTGTACTCTACTGAAACTTGAGACTGCAAGGCTCAGATAGTTGTAGTCTTTTGAGTGACCAAGCTGACCATTAAGTTGATATTAAGATTATCATTGGCTAAGTTCTCATGGTTTAGCTGTCTCTGATTGATTTAGGGTCAGAGGAAGAATCTGATTGTGTTTCTTAACATTCTTGGGCTGTTCACCTCTCCACTTCAATATTCAGTCCTTTGTTTGGCCGGCCAGTCAGCAAGTCTTCACTGAGTCGTGCTGTGTGCCACTTGGAGGGATTTGACCACAGACTGGCCCTGCAAGTTCCCCATGGAGCCTACATCTTCTACCCTGGTCTAGTGGATCTTCTCTGCCATCAACACTAAATCTTAAAATTTTCAAATAAACCTGCTCAGAATCCTCCAGTTGCCTTCCACCACCGTGGGTAAAGTCTAACCTTCTGAATTGAGCCTCTCTGTAGAGGATGCTAAATGATTTTTAGCTTCCTCTCTTGCCTCTGCCATCATCCATGAACCATCTGCTCCCCAGTTGGCTCACTGATCTCCATCTGCCCCTTGATTTTGCCTCTTGCCTCTTCTGGAGTGCCCTCCCCTTTGTCTCCATTTTCCAGATGATTGAAGTCCATCTCAAGGCTTTTTGCTTTTATGAAATGTGACCCCCAAGCCCCTAGGCCACATGGGGCTGTTCTGGACTCGAACTTCTGCCGCCGTCATAGCCTCTGCCTATCACTCAGCAGCCCTGGCTGGTCGAGTCCTTGTGATCTGGTGCCGTGTGCTTTCCCGGCCACACTTAGAAGCTTATGGCTGCAGAGACAGTTTCATATTCATCTTTCTATTCTGTTCAGCATCTGACACACATAGGTGTTTGTTAAGAGTTTGTGGAGAAATGAGTAGGTTCTTTTTGTTTCACTGAAGAGTTTTTCTGTGCCTAAAGATGTTGAGATTATCAGATAGTAGAGTGATCCTGGGTGAGAAAACAGGGCACTTTCTTTCCAGCCCTCCTAGCCATTTGTCTCTTGTGTTCCTCACACATAAACTGAAGCTGTAACACATTTACCTTCAATGTTTTATTTCTTTGAGAGTTTTTCGAGCTGAGATGAATAGCTTTTCCGTCGGTCATGAGATGGAGTTCTCAGCCAAAGGCAAAGGGGCAAATTAGACTTACTCTAATTCTGTTTGGTTCATACAAGGGACACTGTATCTGGAAATTTATAAAATAGGTCCAGGATAGCTTCTTGAATTTTTATTAATCACACAGCCTATTTCCTGCTTTGAGGGTTAGGCATTTGCTACACTACCCTGATAGGTCTCCTGTGAAATCTGTGGAAACCTTGACAAAGTACACTTTGGATGATAGATTAAATATTGCCATCTTCTGTTCATTATGAGAAGTACCATTGACTTTCAAGAAGCCATCTTGTGTTGCTCCTCAGCTTTGAAAGACTGTCAACAAATTATCCCAGGTTGTAGGTACTCAACCTTTAAAAATGGGAACACAAAGTTCTAATTATACATTCAAATAATAATAATGGTATTTGGGGTTTTACTTATTATGCCGTTTAAAAAGAGTATCTTTGCAGTATGTGGTGAGTAGGCTTAACTTGAGTTATTCAAGATACAGAAGGAATATAAGGCTCATATTGCAAAAGGATTCTTGCAAGTATCCTATCAGTTGTTTTATTTTATAAAGCTAGACATAAAGGATAGGCCATCAGCTTTGGAAAATAATTATACAAAGAGATGATATTTTATAACAGTAAGTTTCTTTTTTTTAATAAATTAAAATAAATTAATTTTTTATTGGTGTTCAATTTACCAACATACAGAATAACACCCAGTGCTCATCCCTCAAGTGTCCCCCTCAGTGCCCGTCACCCACTCACCCCTACCCCCCGCCCTCCTCCCCTTCCACCACCCCTAGTTCGTTTCCCAGAGTTAGGAGTCTTTATGTTCTGTGTCCCTTTCTGATATTTCCCACACATTTCTTCTCCCTTCCCTTATATTCCCTTTCACTATTATTCATATTCCCCAAATGAATGAGAACATGTAACGTTTGTCCTTCTCCGATTGACTTAGTTCACTCAGCATAATACCCTCCAGTTCCGTCCACGTTGAAGCAAATGGTGGGTATTTGTCGTTTCTGATGGCTGAGTAATATTCCATTGTACACATAAACCACATCTTTTTTATCCATTCATCTTTCGGTGGACACTGAGGCTCCTTCCACAGTTTGGCTACTGTGGACATTGCTGCTAGAAACATCGGGGTGCAGGTGTCCCGGCGTTTCATTGCATCTGAATCTTTGGGGTAAATCCCCAACAGTGCAATTGCTGGGTCGTAGGGCAGGTCTATTTTTAACTCTTTGAGGAACCTCCACACAGTCTTCCAGAGTGGCTGTACCAGTTCACATTCCCACCAACAGTGTAAGAGGGTTCCCCTTTCTCCACAGCCTCTCCAGCATTTGTTGTTTCCTGCCTTGTTAATTTTCCCCATTCTCATTGGTGTGAGGTGGTATCTCATTGTGGTTTTGATTTGTATTTCCCTGATGGCAAGTGATGCAGAGCATTTTCTCATGTGCATGTTGGCCATGTCTACGTCTTCCTCTGTGAGATTTCTCTTCATGTCTTTTGCCCATTTCATGATTGGATTGTTTGTTTCTTTGGTGTTGAGTTTAATAAGTTCTTTATGGATTTTGGAAACTAGCCCTTTATCTGATACGTCATTTGCAAATATAACAGTAAGTTTCAAATGAATGATGTGTATAAGTAATTTTAGAAAACAATTTCCCCTTTAAATATGCAAAAATTTTATTTTTTTAAAATTTTTTTAAAGATTTATTTATTCATGATAGATAGAGAGGCAGAGACACAGGAGGAGGGAGAAGCAGGCTCCATGCTGGGAGCCTCACGTGGGACTCCATCCCGGGGCTCCAGGATCGTGCCCTGGGCCAAAGGCAGCCGCTAAACCACCGAGCCACCCAGGGATCCCCTAAATACGCAAAAATTTTAAAGCGTAAACATAGGTTATCTTCAAAATAACATCATTTTTGTATTTTTTTCCTTAAGCAAGGCCAAAGCCCTTCTCCTCATAGTGTGCCCAGGAGAAAGGTAACAGTAACTGGAAACAGTGTCTGGAGGCTGATGTAGCCCAGCTGACATCACAGGAGCTAAGTCATGAGCAGAACTGCTATGGAGATGTCAGGCATCTGCCGGCCCCAGCTCTGAGCGGCATTGGCTTGCCCTCTGCTGTTTTATTTTTTCGCTTCTAAATGTGTGTTATGTCTATTATTTAAATTACAAACCTAATATATCTCGTTGGTAACAAAAAATACAAGAGCATCAAAAGTAGTATTGACTGTGACCCCTGGCCCTTGTCACCTCTATTTTTTTGCTGTACCTGTGCCAGGTTGGTATAGGTGTTCATATGTTTTAATCCACTTAATCAAATACGTTATTTGTACCTTAATTTGTTTTATAAGAAATGAGATAATTGTATGAATATTATCCTGTAGGTTACTCTTTTCATTTAACACGTCATGGGCCAATTCCAAATCAGTCTGTGTGTGTCTCTGTCTCCGTGTCTGTCTCTTTTTCTCTCAAAGCCATGTCTTTTTGTCTCTGTAGAAGTTCAGGGTAGGAATATGCCATAGATGAAGTATGGTATATTCTTAGGTTTTTGAGTCATTACTATGAGGAAGTTCTAATAAACATTCTTAGACATCTGTCTTTATGTGCTGGTACTTCTAAAGATCTGGGTGAAAGAATATTTATGTTTTTAACTTAGCTTAATTTTTTAAACTCCAGCTTTTTGCAAGTATTTGTTCCTGTCCTCTCAGTATCACTGTAGGCCTGAGACTGATCTATTTCTTCTGGCGTTGAGTTCTTGGTGTCAGGATAATCCACCTGCTTTTTGTGGACAGAAGAGGAACATGGTCAGTGACTGGTGTTTCCTAGGATGGGACCACCTACTTAGCCAAACAGCGGGGATGGAATATTAGCAGTAATACATCCATCCCAGGAATGTACGTATTTCCCAGCAGAGGCCAAACTTGTCTCCTTCCTGGTTTTAGTTACATAGAACGAGGGCAAAAGTTTGCATTTAATAAATGTCTTCAAAGTCCATTGTCTTTAACCCAGTTTGCACTGGGAAACCCCCCACCATATACAAAATTGTGGTGATAAAAATGGTCCCAAAGCCCTCCTAACAGGTGTCTAGACTGAAATAAAGGGCCTGGAGAAAATGGCTCTGGAGGTAGTTCTCCAGGCGCTCGTTATTGGAGTCAGTGATTCCTGCTCGAGGTTTAATTGGGGGATTCTTGTAGACAGATTAAAATCACATTGCCATTCCTGTAGGATAATGTGTTTATTGGCAATATAATACTGGAAGATATAATTGAACTTACGGAGCTTTGTATTGCCAGCTGCCTCTGCTAATATTCTTCTGCAAACCTACAGGTTACAATGTTTGGTTAAGTCAGGGCAACTTAACTCTGTCCCAGAATTCCATATTCAAATTTGGCATCTCTGACCGAACCCATGAAGAGGCATCTCCAGAAAGTTTTCCAGCTAAGAAAGTGTGCCTCACATCAACACATTTATGGTGTTGAATGTAAGCGTGAATGCCTGGAATCACACAGCTCAGTAGAATGTTCCCATGATCTCAAACATGTTACGTTTCCGCACATCATTTTGAATGCTGTTATGGCTGTGGGTGAGCTGTATCGGTCGTTTTATGCCCTGAATATCACTGGTGACTAACTCCGTTTTGCTGACCACTGGCAGCTCAACGCCATGGCAAATCGTGCTGCAGGGAAAGGCTATGAGAATGAAGACAACTACTCCAATATCAAGTTTCAGTTTATCGGCATAGAGAACATCCATGTCATGAGGAGCAGTCTGCAAAAAATGCTGGAAGGTAAGTAATTTCCTTATGCACAGCATTAAAAAAAATACAGTGAAATATGGTAACGTCAAGTGGAATAAAATAGTCTTTTGTTTTTTACATTGTTTTTACAATAATGCTGTTTATATAGGTGGGATAAGTTGAGATGAGAATATCATATTGCAGGGACTCCTGAAACATTTAAGTCTTCCTCTTATTTTTTCTAAGTGTCATGGGGAAATGGTTTTTCACTTGGTTAGCAAAGCCACGCACTGTCCAGTGCTTAATATCTAAGATAAAAGTGCACAGGAGTTTTTCTTTCTCCCTCATCATATTAGTTTGACCCACGTTCAAGGCTATTTGGAGATAAAGCAGTCCTACATTTAAAGCAGCAGCCGACTCTGTTCATGTGTGGAGATGAGGTGTATAAAATGAATCTGAGTGGCCGAATGGCCATTAGAAGGGAGAGTGTTGCAGGACCTGATACTCATTTCTCAAAAGCAGCAACACTGCGGTGCATCTGGGCTCAGATCACTTTCCCACGTGGCATCCCTGCCCCCCGGCCCCCAGCACCTTCCACCAGGGGACACATGCACACAGGCTTATGGGGGAGGAAACGACAAAGATGGATTATGTAAGGTATGATGGCCATTCTTGCGGCCAAACCAGCCATAAGCTGATTAGCAGAAATTCTGCATTTCAAGCAAAACCAGCCTCATTTACTGCTTATGCTCCACATGATTGTGAAGGCACTCGAGGAGGAATCTGCCACCACCGTCCACGACTTCTGGCTCTGGTGGGAGCCACAGGGAAAGGGGGATGCAAAACCCTTGGCTTTGTGCATTGAGGTCCTGGAGAGGCTGTGAACACTGTGCTTGTGCTGGCGGTGAAGGCCCTGGAAAGGGGGGGCTGAGTGTGGGGACAGTGGGCTGTGAATAGGAAATGTGGGGGTGGGGGGGTAGGTGTTAGGGAGGACCAAGAAAATGCTGAATGACTTTTCCCAAGGAGGACACATTTGCTCTCGGTGTGCAGGTCTCTGCTTGACCAGGAGGACAGCGGGTAGTGAGAACCTGCCCACAGGGCTGGAGGGCCTGGAAAGACCCGCTCCTGATTTCCATTCCCCTTGCTGGACTCCCTGGGCCGGCTCCATCACTGTAAAACATGCAACCCAGCAGTTCCCCCCTTCCCTGGGCTGTGTTACCTGCCGTAAAATGAGAGGCTTAGACTAATATTCCTGCGGGTCCCTCCAGCTGTGTCAGGTCTGTGACTCTACAGTTTGAGGCCCCTGGTTGCGAATATTTGAGCCTTGGGTGTTTGAATGCTTAGGAGAAATCTCATCCTGTATCTGAAAAAAATCAGGGCAGAGAATCTCTGTCTTATTTCCACATGAGAACTGCCATGTTTTATGCCACTGTGATACCTTGGGCATGGTTGTTTGAGATGCCTTTTTTTTTTTTTTTTGGAGAGGGACACCTGAGTGGCTCAGTGGTTAAGCGTCTGCCTTCGACCCAGGGCATGATCCTGGAGTTCCAGGATCGAGTCCCACATTGGACTCCCTGCAGGGAGCTTGCTTCTCCCTCTCCCTATGTCTCTGCCTCTCTCTTTCTGTGTCTCCTTAATAAGTAAACAAAAATCTTTTAAAAAAGAAAAGATTTTATTTGAGAGAAAGAGAGAGAGCATGAGCAGAGGAAGAGGCAGAGGAGAGGGACAAACAGACTCCCTGCTGAGTGGGGAGCCCCACAGAACCCTGAGATATGACCTGAACCCAAGTCAGACCCTTAACAGACTGAGCCACCCAGGCGCCCCGATTGTTTGAGCTTCTTAAACTTGAGCTCACTTATGTTTGAGCTTCTTAAACATAAATAATCATTGACAGTTTGGCTGTCCCTGCTATCAGCTTTACTTTTTAGGTGTCAAAAAATTGGACTAGCTTTGCACTGTTATTAAAAGGATGGTCTAACATTAGTATGAAGGGTGTGCATTACTGTCAGAATCATTAAAAAACATGTAGATACTATGCTTCATATTTTTCATTTAGTAATTTCATAAGCTGACTTTTGAGCTACATACATTTTCTTCAATGCAGAAAGTAGCTCTGAGGAGTTTTTGTACCCCATCACTCTGACCTTCGTTTCGGAATTAGCCTTTATTTGGTCTCTTATTAGGAACCATTTCTGCTTTGTCCTCCTACCTGTGACCTGACTCTCTTCTCCTAAAGGATAGCAGACTGACCAAGTCCTAGAGGGCAGTCCCTGTTGCGTGAGGGATCACAGTAATTGGGCATCACTTTCCAGCTCACTGTCAGTGCAGTGAGCAAGGACAACCTTCTGGATACCCTTCAGGGAACTTGACCAATGTTTGACTATCTGTTTTTACCAAGTAAATTATAAACCACCTGTGGAGGCTCAGCTGATGAAGTGATGCAACCAGACCCACCTTCTAGGGCTTTTTCTGTTTCCAACAGCTGTCCTTGGCATCAAGAGAGATTGAAAGGTTCATGCTGCTGGTTACGTGGTAGGAAGAGGCATAGTGAACTTTTATTCATGGTTATTATTTTCTTGGATTTTTTTAACCACAGTTAATTAATATTATCAGAATGGATTTTGAAAAAAAAAAAGAATGGATTTTGAATGACAGAGAAGAAAAAATTGCTTGCATTCTGGCTCTGTGAGCAAGAGCTGCAGGATATTTCATCAGAAACTGATCTTGAGGACTAAGTTCACATCCGGTGTAGGTCCTTTTATAGAGCTCACTTAATTTTAACTTTGATTTATAAGTTCTGAAGCAAACTTTGTTGCTTTGCAGTATTTAGATCTCCCAATGAGACAGAAATGATGCCTTCCAGTTATATAGCAATTTTGTAATTGTTTTCTATTTCCTTCTTTTTCAGTCATATAATGTTTTTCCCTCAAATAATAAAATGGTGCCTTACATTTTCTCTTTTTTTTTTTTATTGGAACGGTTAATAAGAAAGCCCACATTTCTTTGCCATGTGGACCCCTCTATATATGCTATTCACAACATGGCAGCTTATTTTTTCAAAGCATAACTTTCCAGTGCTACAGTCTAGCATATTACATTTCATATCCGTCTATCCATCTGTCTATCTGTCTATCTATTTGTTTTCATAGACTCCACACCCAGTGTGGAGCCCAACATGGGGCTTGAACTCACAACTTTGAGATCAAGACCTGAGCTGTTGTCAAATCAGACACTTAACCAACTAAGCCACCCAGGTGCCCCATATTTAAAAATATTTTTATATTACATAATTAATTTAAAAGTTTTTAAAATATTCACTTCCCAGGATCTCATAACAAAGCAAGATTTGAGCCTAGTACCTCCTGTCACGTTAGAGCATTCCTCATTGATATGTGGGTACAGCATTGGAGAGGCTCACAGATAACCACCCCACGTTGTAATAGTGTTAGAACATCTACATGATGATTACTATGTACCAGACATTATTTTAATTCTCTCAGGTGTATTTATTCAAGTAGTCCTCATGGAAGTCTTGCTAGAGCTATTTTTAATACAGTCATTTTACAGATGAGGAAATGGAGGAAATACAGAAGCTAAGGAACTCGTGCCAGCTCATGACAGTAGGTGGTAGAACCAAGACTTTCACCTAACCAGTATGGATCCAGATGCCACACTCTTAACCACTTGACTTTATGGCCTCTCTAGGTAGCGGGTTGGGTAGAAAGTGCCCTGGCCTAAGAGTCTGAAGATCTAGGTTTGGGTTCTTGCTTTATAAAAGTCTCTGAATAAAGGTGAATAAACCTCATTTCTGGTATTTGTAAAACAATGTGAACGATGTATCATCTCTAACTTACAGATTTATTGAAAAGATTCCTTGCAAACTGTAAAGTGCTTTCCAATGTAAAGTGTATTATGCTTTCTCTTGGGAAGCAACACTGCACTTGGAAGTAAGTACTGAATAAAATGGGTGAGTTACTGCGCTACGGATGAATTCGGGCAGCCAGACAAATATTTGATGGGTCCTAGGCTTTTTTTTTTTTTTTTTTGTAACTTTTCTCAATTTCTGTATTCAAGAGACATGGAGTAAAAGAGTGCAATTTCAGAGGTAGGGAAGTGCTTTCCTGGTGACATGGTCACCGTCCACTAGCAAAAGTCCATCAAAAATAATTTACAAAACCACCTATCAGGCCTTGTAGACGTTTTCTCAGCAAATTACTTTACAGACATAGAAACCTCAGCCTGATGGCAGGTCATATGGTAATGGGTCCAGAGCACAAGAAGAAAGACCAGTGTCCTTTGAGCGATTTGGGCAATACTACAATGAAAAGCTGTTTGAAGGGGGCCAGAGTCAATGCAATTAAAAAGATGGAAATCTTTGTATTGGGCCCCGAAGTGTAACCACTTTTGTCTTTTCCCCCGGAATTGTGGGCCTTGACAGTGGAGAACGTTTTGTGGCAAAATCAGATGGCCCCAGAGAGCATATCTGATTTGTACTCTGTGTGAAGGTTCTGAGGCCCATTATTCAAAACCTTCATTAGGTGTAGAAAGGACAGTTGAAAGCAGAGAATGTTGAGTACATCATGGGAGGCAGCAAGTATTATGGGTATCTGACTAACCACTCCGGTTGCCCTGCCAAGTTGCCTTGGGCACACCACGGTCTAGAAAGGAGCAGTCCCTCACACACCCAGCTCTAAGAGGTCCATGAAACACTTCTCTCTGCTTAGAATTAGGGTTGTGGCTTTCAGTTCAAATGCCCCTTTTGTTGGATACCTTCTTGCTCACCTCCTGTCTTTATGAGGTGATGGCTACTTCTACCTGGAAGAAATGGAGCAGCTCAACTCTTTATAGATATACAGATTTAAGTTCTTCATTTTAAAGTGTTTCCTATTATGCTGCCTACAAGTTGTTGAAGTTCTACCACATATGAGCTAATAAAAGGCAACAGAAGTTCATCTTGTTTCCGTTCTCTGTGGTTTGACTTTTTACCACTATTAATTCCCTCAATTACTAACCTGTTAGATGAGACAGTCAAGGCCTGGCTGAAAATCTGG